TTCGCTTAGCTTCGCATCGCTTCGCTTCCCTTAGCTTTGGTTCACTTCCCTTAGCTTCGCTTAGCTTCGCTTCGCTTAGCTTCGCTTCGCTTCGCTTCGCTTCGCTTAGCTTCGCTTGGCTTCGCTTTGCTTTACTTCGCTTAGCTTTGCTTCGCTTCTCTTCTCTTCGCTTCGCTTCCCTTAGTTTCGCTTAGCTTCGCCTTGCTTCGCTTTGCTTCTCTTAGCTTCGCTAAGCTTCGCTTTGCTTCGCTTAGCTTTGCTTCGCTTCTCTTTGCTTCTCTTAGCTTCGCTTCGCCTAGCTTCGCCTATCTTTGCTTAGCTTCGATTAGCTTCGCTTCGCTTAGTTTCGCTTCACTTAGCTTCGCTTAGCTTCTCTTTGCTTCGCTTCGCTTAGCTTCGCTTTGCTTAGCTTCGCTTAGCTTTGCTTTGCTTCACATCGCTTAGCTTTGCTTCGCTTCTCTTTTCTTCGCTTCGCTTCCCTTAGCTTCGCTTAGCTTTGCTTTGCTTCACTTCGCTTAGCTTTGCTTCGCTTCTCTTTTCTTCGCTTCGCTTCCCTTAGCTTCGCTTAGCTTCGCCTTGCTTCACTTTGCTTCTCTTAGCTTCGCTAAGCTTCGCTTTGCTTCGCTTAGCTTTGCTTCGCTTCTCTTTGCTTTTCTTTGCTTCGCTTCGCCTAGCTTCGCCTAGCTTCGCTTAGCTTCTCTTAGCTTCGCTTCGCTTCTCTTAGCTTCGCTTCGCTTCGCTTTGCTTTGCTTTGCTTCGCTTCGCTTAGCTTTGCTTCGTTTCACTATGCTTCGCTTAGCTTCACTTCGCTTCGCTTAGCTTCGCTTAGCTTCGATTTGCTTCCCTTAGCTTCGGTTCGCTTCCCTTAGCTTCGCTTAGCTTCGCTTAGCTTCGCTTCGCTTCGCATACTTGCGCTTAGCTTCGCTTTGATTCTCTTAGCTTCGCTTCTCTTCGCTTCGCTTCTCTATGCTTCTCTTCGCTTCGCTTCGCTTCTCTATGCTTCTCTTCGCTTCGCTTCGCTTTACTTTGCTTCGCTTCGCTTCGCTTCGCTTCTCTTCGCTTTGCTTCGCTTCGCTTAGCTTTGCTTCGCTTCGCTTAGCTTTGCTTTGCTTCGCTTCCCTTTGCTTTGCTTCACTTTGCATAGCTGCGCTTAGCTTTGGTTCGCTTCTCTTCGCTTCTCTTCGCTTTGCTTCGCTTCCCTTAGCTTCGCTTAGCTTCGCCTTGCTTCGCTTAGCTTCGCCTCGTTTCTCTTAGCTTCGCTTAGCTTCGCTTCGCTTCTCTTCGCTTCTCTTCGCTTCGCTTCACTTAGCTTCGCAAAGCTTCACTTAGCTTCGCTTTGCTTCGCTTCGCTTAGCTTCGCTTCGCTTCACTTCGCTTAGCTTCGCTTCCCTTCTCTTAGCTTTGCTTAGCTTTGCTTCGCTTAGCTTCGCTTTGCCTTTCTTCGCTTCTCTTTGCTTCGCCTCGCTTAGCTTCGCTTCGCTTAGCTTCGCCTCGCTTCGCTTCTCTTAGCTTCGCTTAGCTACGCTTCGTTTAGCTTCGCTTTGCCTCTCTTCGCTTCTCTTCGCTTCGCTTCGCTTAGCTTCGCTTCGCTTCGCTTCGCTTAGCTTCGCTTCGTTTCGCTTCGCTTAGCTTCGCTCCGCTTCTCTTCGCTTTGCTTCTCTTAGCTTCGCTTAGCTACACTTCATTTAGCTTCGCTTTGCCTCTCTTCGCTTCTCTTCGCTTCGCTTCGCTTAGCTTCGCTTAGCTTCGCTTAGCTTTGCTTCGCTTTGCTTAGCTTCGCTTCGCTTCGCTTCACTTCGCTTAGTTTCGCTTCGCTTTCGCTTAGCTTCGCTTTGCTTAGCTTCGCTTTGCTTCGCTTAACTTCGCTTTGCTTCACTTAGCTTCTCTTTGCTTAGCTTTGCTTCTCTTCGCTTCGATTAGCTTCGCTTGGCTTTGCTTCGCTTCGCTTCGCTTTGCCTCGCTTAGCTTCGCTTAGATTCGCTTGGCTTTGCTTCGATTCGCTTAGCTTTGCTTCGCTCCGCTTAGCTTCGCTTAGCTTCGCTTCGCTTAGCTTCGATTCGCTTCCCTTAGCTTCACTTCGCTTCGCTTTGCTTAGCTTAGCTTTGCTTAGCTTCGCTTCGCTTAGCTTCGCTTAGCTTCGCTTAGCTTCGCTTCGCTTGGCATAGCTGCGCTTTGCTTCGTTTTGCTTCTCTTAGTTTGGCTTCTCTTTGCTACGCTTCTCTTTACTTCTCTTCGCTTCGCTTCGCTGAGCTTCGCTTTGCTTCGCTTAGCTTTGCTTAGATTCGCTTAGCTTCCCTTCGCTTCGCTTAGCTTCTCTTCACTTTGCTTCGCTTAGCTTTGCTTCGCTTTGCTTAGCTTCGCTTAGCTTCATGTTCGCTTCACTTATCTTCGCTTCGATTAGCTTCGCTTCGCTTCGCTTAGCTTCCTGTTCGCTTCGCTTAGCCTCGCTTTGCTTAGCTTGGCTTCGCTTCGCTTAGCTTCACTTTGCTTCGCTTAGCTTCTCTTAGCTTCGCTTTGCATTGCCTAGCTTCGCCTAGCTTTGCTTAGCTTTGCTTCGCTTCGCTTCGCTAAGCTTTGCTTCGTTTCACTTTGCTTCGCTTCGCTTCGCTTAGCTTCGCTTCGCTTCGCTTAGCTTCGCTTCGCTTCGCTTAGCTGCGCTTAGCTTCGCTTAGCTTCACTTCGCTTCGCTTAGCTTCGCTTAGCTTCGCTTAGCTTCGCTTAGCTTTGCTTAGCTTCGCTTAGCTTTGCTTAGCTTCGCTTAGCTTCGCTTTGCTTAGCTTCGCTTAGATTTGCTTAGCTTCGCTTAGCTTCGTTTAGCTTCGCTTTGCCTCTCTTCGCTTCTCTTCAGTTTGCTTCGCTTAGCTTCGCTTAGCTTCGCTTTGCTTCCCTTAGCTTCGGTTCGCTTCCCTTAGCTTCGCTTCGCTTCGCTTCACTTCGCTTAGCTTCGCTTAGCTTCGCTTCGCTTCGCATACCTGCGCTCAGCTTCGCTTTGCTTCTCTTAGCTTCGCTTCTTTTCGCTTTGCTCTCTATGCTTCTCTTCGCTTCGCTTCGCTTAGCTTCCCTTCGCTTCTCTTCGCTTCTCTTCGCTTCGCTTAGCTTCGCTTTGCTTCGCTTCGCTTCACTTCGCTTTGTTTCGTTTCGCTTCGCTTCTCTTAGCTTCGCTTAGCTTCGCTTCGCTTAGCTTCGCTTTGCCTCTCTTTGCTTCTCTTTGCTTAGCTTCGCTTAGCTTGGCTTAGCTTCGCTTCGCCTCACTTCGCTTAGCTTCGCTTCGCTTCAATTCTCTTAGCTTTGCTTAGCTACGCTTCGCTTTGCCTCTCTTCGCTTCTCTTCGCTTAGCTTCGCTTAGCTTCGCCTAGCTTCGCTTAGCTTCGCTTCGCTTCCCTTAGCTTCGGTTCGCTACCCTTAGCTTCGCTTCGCTTCGCTTCCCATACCTGCGCTTAGCTTTGCTTTGCTTTTCTTAGCTTCGCTTCTTTTCGCTTCGCTTCTCTATGCTTCTCTCCGCTTTCCTTCGCTTAGCTTCGCTTCGCTTCACTTTGCTTCGCTTTGCTTCGCTTCGCTTCACTTCTCTAAGCTTCGCTTAGCTTCGCTTTGCCTGTCTTCGCTTCTCTTCGGTTCGCTTCGCTTAGCATCGCTTAGCTTCGCTTAGCTTCGCTTCGCTTCGCTTAGCTTCGCTTAGCTTCGCTTAACTCCACTTTGCTTCGCTTAGCTTCGCTTTGCATAGCTTCGCTTAGCTTCGCTTCGCTTTGCTTAGCTTCGTTTAGCTTCGCTTGGCTTTGCTTCGCTTCTCTTCGCTAAGCTTCGCTTAGCTTCGCTTGGCTTCGCTTCGCTTCTCTTCGCTTCGCTTCGCTTAGCATCGCTTAGCTTTGCTTCGCTTTGCTTAGCTTCGCTTAGCTTCGCTTAGCTTCGCTTTGCTTCGCTTAGCTACGCTAAACTTCGCTTTGCTTTGCTTAGCTTCGCTTTGCTTAGCTTCGCTTCGCTTCGCTTAGCTTCGAATAGCTTCGCTTGGCTTTGCTTCGCTTCGCTTCGCTTGGCTTCGCTTGGCTTCTCTTCGCTACTCTTCGCTTAGCTTCGCTTAGCTTCGCTTAACTTCGCGTTGCTTCACTTAGCTTCGCTATGCTTAGCTTCGCTTCGCTTCGCTTAGCTTTGCTTAGCTTCGTTTAGCTTCGCTTGGCTTTGCTTCGCTTCTCTTCGCTTAGCTTCGCTTAGCTTTGCTTAGCTTTGTTAGGATTAAGGACGGAGTCTAGGTGAACTTAGGAGCTAGAATTACTCAAAATATAAATCCGAAATTCTGGACAGAAAAGTCGTCCTCACAAGAAACGACGTCGACAAAAATCTAGCCGTTGGAATGTCGCGAAACTTGGATATGTTGTAGCTCTTAAGCTCAGCTACCGTTCCCAATTCGAACCACGTTGATTAATGAAGTATTCGCGACGCTATGGCTTTCGACGCACTAGGGGGTAAGCTGTAGGAGGAGAACTTAACTCAATCTCAAAAGTTTAATCAAAGTTCAAGAATCTCACAAGGAATTAGAGGAGCAAGAGAAAGGTTGGGATAGAAAGAGAGGGATGAGAGGGAAGGTCCCAAGAGAGTCCCCAACCAAGGAAACCCCATTATCACAAAGATTCCCCCCCTATAGGAACCCCAACTTTGACATTTGTCCCTTCCCAACCAATCCATCCAAGTTGGCCACCCTTGCCAACCTAGCTTGGTTGTTCCCAACCAATTTGCAGCTGTTACAGTAGAGTGACAAATTTCCCCAACCCCAAAGGTCCCAACTCCATATAAAGTCACCCCACAACTTCACTTTGTAACCGCCGCAATTGTAACGCAAGCTCATGAACTTTGAATCTTCATAGCTTTCGCGTTCTTGCTCCGATTGAAGCGATTCTTGTTGCGTCGGAAAGATCTTCTCAAGATCTATCATCACAAATACCGGCTCAGACAGAATAACACAAAACACATTCCCAAACTCCAGAACACACCACACACAAATTCTTTCACACAGAGTCAAACCATACATACGAATTGAAACAAGAGATGGGAGGCAGACAGAATGTGATAGCATATGATGACATCACACAACAATCTCCCTCTCTGGCTGCCAACCATCATCCACCATACCAACATCTCAAGCATGCATACTCAATGCACACTCATCCCAGCAAGCTTCATGCCCTTCCAATGATCCGCCTCCGCGAGACGCTTAGTGAAAATATCTGCTGCCTGCTGATGGGTCTTCACTATCTCTAGCCGCACCTCCTTATCAAGGATTCTCCTCACCCAATGCCACTTAGGCCTTATGACTTTTGTTAGCCCATGCAGACAAGCATTCTTGGCTAGCTTCACTGCAGACTCATTGTTACAGAACACAACTGTCGGCTCCTCCTGACCAACTCCCAACTCCTCCAACAAGCGCCTCAGCCACACCACTTCCTTGACCCAATGGTGTAAGGCCATGTACTCAGTCTCACATGAGGACAATCCCACCTCATTCTGCTTCTTGCTGCGCCAGCTCACAGCACCACCTCCTAGCAAGCACACATAACCCCCAATGCTGGTGCCATCCGCTTTCACTGAGTTGAAGCTAGCGTCAGTATAGCAACTCAAGAGCATCTCTCCACTCTTCACATCTGCAGCACCTCTCTGCAACCGCTGCCTCACTCCACTGTACTCCAATCCCACTGATGCCGTAGCACTCACATAGCGGACCAACCTCTTGGCCGCTTCCAGCTGCTCATGACTAGGGCGTGAGACCACACTAGCCAACCGTGATGTAGCAAATGCAATGTCAGGCCGTGTATGATTTGCAGCATAGTTCAGTGACCCAACCATCGAATGAGACAGCTTCCTGTCACTCTCACCCACTACCTCCTCATCAGCACATGGCTCCACAGTAAACCCTAAAGGTAGTGGTGTTGCTGGCTTTCCCCCATCTTGCAGCCCATACTTCTCAGCCAGCCCCTCACAGTACTTCCTTTGGTGCAACCTCAGCACACCCTTTTCCACATCTCTCTCCACATGCATCCCCAAGTAGTACTTCACCTCACCCATCTTGGAGCACTTGAACTGCATCTCCAGCATCTGCTCTGCGCTGTCCAGCAAAGCAGTTGATGCAGAGAAGAGAAGGATATCATTCACGTACACCAGGAGCATGAGGATTTCATCCTTCTCCTGCAGCAGGAACAGGCTGGGGTCACACTCACTCTTCTTAAAACCCCCAGCCAGCAGCGCCTCCTCCAACTTGTGATACCATGCACGAGGCGCCTGCTTAAGGCCATAGATGGCCTTCTTCAGCCTGCAGACCCTGCCGCTCCCGTCATCCAGCCCCTCTGGCTGCTTCATGTACACCTCCTCCATAATGATCCCATTCAGAAAGGCAGTCACAATATCCATCTGCCGAATCTTCCATCCCAGGAGTGCAGCTATCGCCAACAGCACCCTCAGTGTTGTTCCTTTCCCCACAGGAGCAAACACCTCATCATAGTCCTTCCCCTTTGTCTGCTGAAACCCCCGTGCCACAAGCCTAGACTTGTAGCGGATCAGCTCCCCTTCAGGTCCATACTTGTGCCTGTAGATCATCTTGGAAGTGATTGCCTTCTTTCCAGGAGGCAAGTCACACAGGTCCCATGTCTCGTTCTCAATTAGGGACCCGAACTCCTCATCCTCACTCGCCTTCCACTTCTCCCCATTTGGTCCATTCAAAGCCTCCTCTCGAGTCTTGGGCTCAGGGATTGGTGCCCAGTAGCAGTGAGCGATCTCATCTTCCTCAATCTGCTCAACCACACTCCCAGCCTGCACCACATTCGGCTTGCCTCTTCCCCCATAGGTTAGCCTCACCGGAGGGCGCACATCCCTCCTAGGTTGCTCAGGCGGGTGTGGAACGCGAGGTGGAGACTCATGTTGTTGCTGCTGCTGCTCCACTTCAGCTGCTCCCCCTTCTTCAGTCACCCCAGACATCTCCTCCTCAGACACTGCAACCTCCACTTGCCTTGAAGGCTGCTACAACTCATCTGCCTCCACAATCAGTGGTGTACATGGAAGCTTTTGTTGCTGCTGCTTCCATTCCTTGTAGTACAGGGACTCAAGAAACTTCACATCCCTTGACACTGTTAGCTTCTGGGTGGTCAAGTCCCATAGCAGCCATCCCTTGTGATCCTTTGCAATCCCTAAGTGCACACCCCATCTTCCAGAAGCCTCCAACTTCCCCCTTTTCTCCTTAGGCACATGAAACACCACCATGCACCCAAATGCCCTCAGCATGTTCACAGCTGGAGCACTCCCATACCACTTGGTATATGGGATCCACTCCTTCTCCCCAACTGTAGCCAGCACCCTATTCTTCACAAGGGTGACCTGCCTCAGTGCAGACACCCAAAACGGATCAGGCAGCCCTGCACGCCCAAGGAGAGTGCGTGCCCCCTCCTGCAGGGTCCTTTTGAACCTCTCAGCCACGCCATTCTGCTGCGGGTTGTAGGGCACTGTCAGTTGATGCTGGATCCCCTTCCTCTTCAACTCCCCCTCAAAATCAGCTCCAATGAACTCCCCACCATTGTCACTGCGGATCACCTTCACCTTGTGTCCGCATTCCCTCTGAGCTCTAGGCATCCACTCCTTAAGGACAGCCGCTGCCACCTCCCCCTTGCTCTTCAAAGGGTAAACCCACACTGCCCGAGTGTGGTCATCCACAATTGTCAAGAAATAGCGGCTGCCTGAGAGGGAAAGGGCTCTTGTGGGCCCCACCACATCCATGTGCACAAGTGCAAGTGGGATCTTGGCTGGTCCTGTAGTGCTGTTGAAGGGGAACTTGGAGAACTTGGTCTCCAAGCATGTAGGGCAGCTCCCAATCTCCTTCACTCCCCCTTTCACCTCCAAGCCTTTCAGGCTCCCATCCTTCACCAACTTCTGCAGCATAGGGAAGTTCACATGACACAGCCTCTCATGCCATGTCTCCCAATTGGCCCCACCACTCCTAGATGAAGCCTTGGCCCATGCCGCGCTCCCATCCACACCAGCAAGCACCTCGCCAAGTGTCTTCCCAAGCAGAACATTCCCAAGCCCCACAAGTTCCCCATTAGCTCCCTTAACCTTGGCATTCCCAACACCAATGACAGGGAGCAAAGCACCTGACACTGCTGCCACATACTTAATCTTCCCAGGGGGTTTTACCTCATCAAGCAAATCTGCCCGTGGGGTCATGTGACTGGTGCAACCCGAATCAATCACCCAGTGCGTGAGAGGGTGCATCACAACCTTTCCCACATATCCCACATCACCCTCATGCCTATGCACATCCTCAACCATGAGAAACATCCCAGGATAGGTATTACCTTGTGCACCTTCACCTTGTGCACCTGAGCCTTGCACAGCGCCACCTTGTGCGCGTTCACCACTGGGCGGCTTCATGCCTGGAGGTGCCCATCCCTCCGGCCTGCTGAAGCACTTAAACCAAGGATGCCCGACCTTCTTGCAGTACCAGCAGGTGCCCTCGATTCTGGTACTCCCCTTGCCACTAGAGCTCCCATGCCCCTCATTATAGTCACCTCGGCCACTACCTCTGCCAAAGCTCCTCCCACGGCCTCGGCCTCTCCAACCCCCTCTTCCTCTGCCGCGCCCTGCAGCTCCATACCCCTCAGCAGTCTTAGTGGAAGCACCACCTCCCACATGGCGTCTGCGGAAGTCCTCCTGCAGAATCTGCTGCCTTAGCCACTCAGGTGTCCATTGATCTTGCTGAGAGTTGAGGGTGGGGATGAGGTTGTCCCAAGAGTTGTCCAACACCGAGATGATCTTGGTGCACTGCTGCAGCTGAGATACACTGCTGCCCGCTGCTGCCATCCTTGCATAGGTGTCCTTGATCTTGTCAAGGACCGGCTTCACATCGTCCCCTGGTCGCATGGAGATGGCAGCAAGTTCCTTCTCGAGCACGATCACCATCGGAAGAGTGTTGGGCTGAATCACATCGCGTAGTAGTTTCCACGCCCTTGGACCCGAATCATCCGCTTCCACAAGATCCTTGATGTGCTCGAACATCTCCTTGTTGACCGATTGAAGGATGAGGTCGAAAAGCACCGCGCTTTTCTCAATCCACCGTTCGCGTGCTTCGCCTTCTTCCGGCATCTTCTCTTTCCCAACAGCAATCTTCAGGAGCTTGTAGCGTTTGAAGGCACTCCTCATCCGACCGCTCCTTTCCTCATAATTGGAGCCATCCAAAGCTTCAACTTTTGATGGCGGCGGCTCACTTGTCTTTTCAGGTACAGCTCCTCTCCCATTAGCATCTCCTCCTCTCTCATTCATCTTCTCCTTGAGAAATGACGAGTTTCAGCTCCCCTTTGCTGTCCACACTCAGCTCCCTCGATATTTTCACAAGTATCGGCGTCCACGAAATTTCGACAGAGTTTCCCCTTAGCGGAAGACACATCCAACCTTTAGAACACCACTTAGGCACACCCACAGGCCATGGTGGGTCTAGAAGGGTCTTCAAAACTTCTGTAGACTCCTCTCAATGTCCTTAATATCGCTCTGATACCACTTGTTAGGATTAAGGACGGAGTCTAGGTGAACTTAGGAGCTAGAATTACTCAAAATATAAATCCGAAATTCTGGACAGAAAAGTCGTCCTCACAAGAAACGACGTCGACAAAAATCTAGCCGTTGGAATGTCGCGAAACTTGGATATGTTGTAGCTCTTAAGCTCAGCTACCATTCCCAATTCAAACCACGTTGATTAATGAAGTATTCGCGACGCTATGGCTTTCGACGCACTAGGGGGTAAGCTGTAGGAGGAGAACTTAACTCAATCTCAAAAGTTTAATCAAAGTTCAAGAATCTCACAAGGAATTAGAGGAGCAAGAGAAAGGTTGGGATAGAAAGAGAGGGATGAGAGGGAAGGTCCCAAGAGAGTCCCCAACCAAGGAAACCCCATTATCACAAAGATTCCCCCCCTATAGGAACCCCAACTTTGACATTTGTCCCTTCCCAACCAATCCATCCAAGTTGGCCACCCTTGCCAACCTAGCTTGGTTGTTCCCAACCAATTTGCAGCTGTTACAGTAGAGTGACAAATTTCCCCAACCCCCAAAGGTCCCAACTCCATATAAAGTCACCCCACAACTTCACTTTGTAACCGCCGCAATTGTAACGCAAGCTCATGAACTTTGAATCTTCATAGCTTTCGCGTTCTTGCTCCGATTGAAGCGATTCTTGTTGCGTCGGAAAGATCTTCTCAAGATCTATCATCACAAATACCTGCTCAGACAGAATAACACAAAACACATTCCCAAACTCCAGAACACACCACACACAAATTCTTTCACACAGAGTCAAACCATACATACGAATTGAAACAAGAGATGGGAGGCAGACAGAATGTGATAGCATATGATGACATCACACAACAAGCTTCGCTTCGCTGCGCTTTGCTTCGCTTAGCTTCGCTTAGATTCGCTTTGCTTCACCTAGCTTCGCTATGCTTAGCTTCGCTTCGCTTCGCTTAGCTTCGTTTAGCTTCGCTTGGCTTTGCTTCAATTCTCTTCACTTAGCTTTGATTCGCTTAGCTTCGCTTAGATTGCTTCGCATCGCTTAGCTTCGCTTAGATTCGCTTACCTTCACTTCGCTTAGCTTAGATTTGCGTTGCTTCGCTCGCTTAGATTCGCTTAGCTTCGCTTAGCTTCACTTCGCTAAGCTTAGATTCTCTTTGCTTTGCTTCGCTTAGCTTCGCTGTGCTTCTCTTAGCTTCGCTTCTCTATGCTTTTCTTCGCTTCGCTTCGCTTCGCTTAGCTTCGCTTTGCTTCACTTAGCTTCGCTTCGCTTGTCTTCGCTTCTCTTCGCTTCGCTTAGCTTCGATTTGCTTCGCTTCCCTTAGCTTCGCTTAGCTTTGCTTAGCTTCGCTTTGCTTCGCATAGCTGCGCTTAGCTTTGCTTTGCTTCAATTAGCTTCGCTTCTCTTCGCTTCGCTTCTCTATTCTTCTCTTTGCTTCGCTTCGCCTAGCTTTGCTTAGCTTCGCCTTGCTTCGCTTAGATTCGCTTTGCTTCGCTTCCCTTAGCTTCGCTTCACTTCACATAGCTTCACTTAGCTTTGCTTCGCTTCTCTTCGCTTCTCTTCGCTTCGCTTCGCTTCCCTTAGCTTTGCTTAGCTTCGCCTTGCTTCACTTAGCTTCGCTTCGCTTCGCTTCCCTTCTCTTAGCTTCGCTTAGCTTCGCTTTGCTTGGCTTCGCTTCGCTTCGCTTCGCTTTGCATAGCTTCGTTTAGCTTCGCTTGGCTTTGTTTCGCTTCTCTTCGCTTAGCCTCGCTTGGCTTCGCTTCGCTTCTCTTCCCTTCGCTTCGCTTAGCATCGCTTAGCTTCGCTTCGCTTTGCTATGCTTCGCTTAGCTTTGCTTCGCTTTGCTTAGCTTCGCTAAACTTCGCTTTGCTTTGCTTAGCTTCGCTTTGCTTTGCTTCGCTTAGCTTCGTTTAGCTTCGCTTGGCTTTGCTTCGCTTCGCTTCGCTTGGCTTCGCTTGGCTTCTCTTCGCTTCTCTTTGCTTAGCTTCGCTTAGCTTCGCTTAACTTCGCGTTGCTTCACTTAGCTTCGCTATGCTTAGCTTCGCTTCGCTTCGCTTAGCTTTGCTTAGCTTCGTTTAGCTTTGCTTGGCTTTGCTTCGCTTCTCTTCGCTTAGCTTCGCTTAGCTTTGCTAAACCTTGCTTCGCTTCGCCTTGCTTCGCTTAGCTTCGCTTAGATTCGCTTTGCTTCACCTAGCTTCGCTATGCTTAGCTTCGCTTCTCTTCGCTTAGCTTCACTTCGCTTCGCTTAGCTTCGTTTAGCTTCGCTTGGCTTTGCTTCGCTCTTCTTCGCTTAGCTTCGCTTAGCTTTGCTTAGCTTCGCTTCGCTTCGCTTTGCTTCGCTTAGGTTCGCTTAGATTCGCTTCGCTTTGCTTCGCTTCGCTTAGCTTCCCTTAGCTTTCTTTGCTTCGGTTTGCTTCCATTAGCTTCACTTCGCTTCGCTTGGCTTCGCTTCGCTTCGCATAGCTGCGCTTAGCTTCGTTTTGCTTCTCTTAGCTTCGCTTCTCTCGCTACGCTTCTCTTTGCTTCTCTTCGCTTAGCTTCGCTTTGCTTCGCTTAGCTTCGCTTAGATTCGCTTAGCTTTGCTTCGCTTAGCTTCCCTTAACGTTGCTTTGCTTCGCTTAGCTTCGCTTTGCTTAGCTTCGCTTCGCTTCTTTTTGCTTAGCTTCGCTTAGCTTTGCTTAGATTCGCTTAACTTCGTTTAGCTTTGCTTCGCTTCGCTTTCCTTAGCTTCTGTTCGCTTCTCCTAGCTTCGCTTAGCTTTGCTTCGCTTCCCATAGCTGCGCTTAGATTCGCTTAGCTTCGCTTCGCTTAGGTTCGCTTAGCTTCGATTAGCTTCGCTTCGCTTCGCTTTGCTTCCCTTAGCTTCAGTTCGCTTAGCTTCACTTTGCTTTGCTTCGCTTCGCCTCGCTTCGCTTCGCATAGCTGCGCTTAGCTTCGTTTTTCTTCTCTTAGCTTCGCTTCTCTTCGCTACGCGTCTCTTTGCTTCTCTTCGCTTTGCTTCGCTTAGCTTCGCTTAGCTTCGCTTCGCTTCGCTCAGCTTTCTTTCGCTTCGCTTAGCTTTGCTTCGCTTAGCTTCCCTTAACTTTGCTTTGCTTCGCTTTGCTTAGCTTCGCTTAGCTTCGCATCGCTTTGCTTCGCTTCTCTTCGCTTAGCTTCACTTAGCTTCGCTTCGCTTCGCTTAGCTTCGCTTAGATTCGCTTAGCTTCGCTTCGCTTCGCATTGCTTTGCTTTGCTTCGCTTAGCTTCGCTTCGCTTCGCTTTCCTTAGCTTCCGTTCGCTTCTCTTAGCTTTGCTTTGCCTTGCTTCGCTTCGCATAGCTGCGCTTAGCTTAGCCTCCCTTAGCTTCAGTTCGCTTCCCTTAGCTTCACTTCGCTTCGCTTAGCTTTGCTTCGCTTCGCATAGCTGCGCTTAGCTTCGCTTCTCTTCGCTTCGCTTCTCTTTGCTACTGTTTGCTCTGCTTCGCTTCGCTTAGCTTTGCTTCGGTTAGCATCGCTTAGATTGCTTCGCTTCGCTTAGCTTCGCTTAGATTCGCTTAGCTTCACTTCGCTTAGCTTAGATTCGCTTTGCTTCGCTCGCTTAGATTCGCTTAGCTTCGCTTAGCTTCACTTCGCTTAGCTTAGATTCGCTTTGCTTTGCTTCGCTTAGCTTCGCTGTGCTTCTCTTAGCTTCGCTTCTCTATGCTTCTCTTCGCTTCGCTTCGCTTCGCTTAGCTTCGCTTTGCTTCACTTAGCTTCGCTTCGCTTTTCTTCGCTTCTCTTCGCTTCGCTTAGCTTCGATTTGCTTCGCTTCACTTAACTTTGCTTCGCTTCCCTTAGCTTCGGTTCGCTTCCCTTAGCTTCGCTTAGCTTTGCTTAGGTTCGCTTCACTTCGCATAGCTGCGCTTAGCTTTGCTTTGCTTCAATAAGCTTCGCTTCTCTTTGCTTCTCTTTGCTTCGCTTCGCCTAGCTTCGCTTTGCTTCGCTTAGATTCGCTTTGCTTCGCTTGCCTTAGCTTCGCTTCATTTCGCATAGCTTCGCTTAGCTTTGCTTCGCTTCTCTTAGCTTCTCTTCGCTTCGCTTCGCTTCCCTTAGCTTCGCTTAGCTTCACCTTGCTTCGCTTCCCTTCTCTTAGCTTCGCTTAGCTTCGCTTTGCTTTGCTTCGCTTCTCTTCGCTTCGCTTCTCTTAGGTTCGCTTTGCTTTGCTTTGCTTCGCTTAGCTTCTCTTAGCTTCGCTTCGCTTTGCTTAGCTTCGCCTAGCTTTGCTGTGCTTCTCTTAGCTTCGCTTCTCTATGCTTCTCTTCGCTTCGCTTTGCTTCGCTTCGCTTCTCTTGTCTTCGCTTCTCTTCGCTTCGCTTAGCTTCGATTTGCTTCGCTTCACTTAGCTTTGCTTCGCTTCCCTTAGCTTCGGTTCGCTTCCCTTAGCTTCGCTTAGCTTTGCTTAGCTTCGCTTCACTTCGCATAGCTGCGCTTTGCTTTGCTTTGCTTCAATTAGCTTCGCTTCTCTTCGCTTCGCTTCTCTTTGCTTCTCTTTGCTTCGCTTCGCCTAGCTTCGCTTAGCTTCGCCTTGCTTTGCTTAGATTCACTTTGCTTCGCTTCCCTTAGCTTCGCTTCACTTCGCTTAGCTTCGCTTAGCTTTGCTTCACTTCTCTTCGCTTCTCTTCGCTTCGCTTCGCTTCCCTTAGCTTCGCTTAGCTTCGCCTTGCTTCGCTTAGCTTCGCTTCGCTTCGCTTCCCTTCTCTTAGCTTCGCTTAGCTTCGCTTTGCTTGGCTTCGCTTCGCTTCGCTTCTCTGCGCTTCTCTTCGCTTAGCTTCGCTTCGATTCGCTTAGCTTCGCTTCGCTTAGCTTCGCTTAACTTTGTTTTGCTTCGCTTAGCTTTGCTTTGCTTCGCTTAGCTTCTCTTAGCTTCGCTTCGCTTTGCTTAGCTTCGCCTAGCTTTGCTGTGCTTCTCTTAGCTTCGCTTCTCTATGCTTCTCTTCGCTTCGCTTTGCTTCGCTTCGCTTCGCTTGTCTTCGCTTCTCTTCGCTTCGCTTAGCTTCGATTTGCTTCGCTTCACTTAGCTTTGCTTCGCTTCCCTTAGCTTCGCTTCGCTTCGCTTAGCTTCGCTTAGCTTTGCTTCACTTCTCTTCGCTTCTCTTCGCTTCGCTTCGCTTCCCTTAGCTTCACTTAGCTTCGCCTTGCTTCGCTTAGCTTCGCTTCGCTTCGCTTCGCTTCGCTTCGCTTCGCTTCCCTTCTCTTAGCTTCGCTTAGCTTCGCTTTGCTTGGCTTCGCTTCTCTTCGCTTCTCTTCGCTTAGCTTCGCTGCGATTCGCTTAGCTTCGCTTCGCTTAGCTTCGCTTAACTTTGCTTTGCTTCGCTTAGCTTCGCTTTGCTTCGCTTAGCTTCGCTTTGCTTCGCTTAGCTTCGCTTCTCTTAGCTTCACTTCGCTTAGCTTCGCTTCGCTTCGCTTAGCTTCGCTTTGCTTCGCTTAGCTTCGCCTAGCTTCCCTTCGCTTTGCTTCGCTTAGCTTCGCTTCGCTTCGCTCGCTTCACCTCTCGGACCGCTTCCTGCTTTCTCTTGCGTGTCGCTTCCCACTTTCCCAGTTCTATCTGCATCAGTTTCAACTCCCCCTCTCGCCTTCGCGCCCCCTAGTGAGCAGCTCCTTCCTCTCCCACAGGCTTCAATTACCACGGTCGTTCTTAGTGTGCCCTATGCTGAGGATCTCGTT